CAGCCATGTGCAGTAGCTGCCAGAAAAGCAGTTCTAGGCTGCATAAACGTAGAATCAAGATTACGTGACGTGTTAATACCACTTTATAAGGCCTTGGGAAGACCACACTTGGAATCCTACATCCTGTTTTGGTCGCCACGATGTAAATAAGATGTGGACACTCTAGAAAGAGTGCAGAGAAGAGCAACCAAGATGATTAGGGGACTGGAGACTAAAACATATGAAAAATGGTTGTTGGAATTGGGTATGTCTAGTCTAATGAAAAGAAGGACTAATGTAGGAAGGCAAGAGGGGAGACATGATAGCAGTCTTCCAATATCTCAGGGGTTGCCACAAAGAAGAGGGAGTCAAACTATTCTCCAAAGCACCTGAGGGTAGAACAAGAAGCAATGGGTGGAAACTAATCAAGGAGAAAAGCATTCTCCTAAGAGAGGGGTAGGTGCCAACCTTCTACACTTCCTATCATTAAGATGATCCCGATAGATCTTTATTCCTGAATCTGAACTGGGAGCATCTAACAGTACATTCTTCCTTGACACTGTCAATTCTCCTAGAGTAATTTGGCTTCCACCCAAAATTACTCTTTTGTAATATTCAAGGGCCAAAGTGTCTTTATGAAAGGGCATACGACAGATTCCATTCTGAATTATTCCTCCTTTCTTTTTTTGCTTCCTTCTGTACTCGCAGTGATGTGAATCACTTCTAGTTGAAATGTAACAGGTTGGGTTTGAAAAGAGAGGAATCGGAGAGTTCTCAGATTTCTTTTTTCAAAGTGGGTTTGGGGATAAGGAGCCAACAGTAAATCTTTCCAGGGGAAGCATCCCATTTTTCCTTTCAGATAATTAATTACTATTAAGGCAATCAATTCAACTTAGCAGAAAACTGTGACTTTATGGACCAATAAATGCCGCATCAGGCAGGAAGAGCAATCGAGCACTGTCAATTGTTTATGAACTATTCATCTTGGGAAGGGAATGAGCATAAACAAAATATCTCTCCATTTTTTTGGCTGAGATTCCTTGAAAATAATCCATCAATATGAGTTAAAATTTGGGTAGAGATGTGCTTGGAAATAACTCAACAGGGGGAGTTTTTTTTTAATCTTTTGTGATGGGAAACTCAAAAGGAAGAAAATAGGTTTCCCAGGATGCTACTTGGAGTAATGCCATACAATGCATTTGATGAGTACTTCTCCTTCCTTTTCCCTATTCCTTTCCCTTCCTTCTCCTTCTCCCCCTTCACTTTCTCCTTCCTCTAATCTGGGTGTTTGCTGCTGGAAAGTAGGTATTCTAGGCCTTTTGTTTCCTTTTTAGCTTTTTTATTGTCTGTTTTCAAAGGTGTGTAAATGTGGGGAAACAGATTTATTTACTTTGATCAGGGCTGCTCAGCTTTGATGGGAGCCGAGTATATACTGTTTATTGATTGCAAGCTTACCAAATGATGTTGCATTTTCAAAGTGGTTTGGTTGTTTGGAGGGGGGGAGGGGAGCCAGGTTTTAGTTAGAACAAAGAATAGATCAGTTCTTGTCTTCATGTCATGCATCAAAAGAAACAAACTTTCTTTCTTTCTTTCTTTTTCTCTCTCTCTCTTTTCTTTCTTTCTCCCTCTGTCTCTTTCCCTCTGTCTCTTTCTCTCTCTCTTTCTCCCTCTCTCTCTTTCTATTTTTCTCTCTTTCGCTCTCTCTTTCTCCCTCTCTCTCTTTCTAT